GTCTCCCGTGTCCCCAGGGCCTCGGTGCGAACAGCCCCCCTCTATCTGCCGCCCTGGTGGGAAACTGGCCCCGGTGGAAGCTGATCCCTGCCCTCCACCTGCTCAGTTAGCAGCCGGGTGCCTGCCTGGCCCTGGGGACCTGGCAGGTCTGGAAATAGGCTCAGGTCCCCGGGGCTCTCGCCACATTGGGCCCCAAGGACCACATGCTGGCTGCAGTCCCTTCCTTTCCCTCTGACAGGCGGCTGTCCCTCCGAGATGCCAGCTTGCTGCAGGTCCTTGACCGGGAGCTTGGACCCCAACCTCGCCAGCCCTCGGCCAGAGAGGTGCCCTCCTGCCTCGGCAATTAGACAAGCAGATTCCCTGGTGAGGGTGCCTTTGGCTGGGGACAGGTGTGGCAGCCTCTGGCCCAAGCCCCAGGGAGAAGATGACCTCCAGGGCTTCAGGGGATGGAGGGGCAGGGCAGCTCTTGGACCCGAAGCCTGGGACAAAGCTGCCACCCCAAGCCGAGGAGGGCGGAAAACTCTACGCCAAGAAGTGGCTGTCAGGCTCTGACCAGACCCCTCCACTCCCCAGAGGCTGGTCCTGCCCGGCCTGTGGGGCGCCGGTCCCCAGGGCACCCCAGGGACGCAGGCGTCTGCCTCCACGCCCAGCACCTGCCCCGCCCCTCAGTGCATCCTGGAGGGCGGTGCCCCACCCCTCAGCAGGTGCCCAACCAGAGCACCGGCAGGAGAACGCCCCTCTGAGCCCTCCACCCTGGTGGAAGCCCCCCTGAGGATGGAGACGGGGTCTCGGCACGGAGCTGCAGGGTGAGCGCGGCACACCTACCGTGACCAGCTGCTGCTGCACAGAGTCACTGACGTACAGCATGGTGGGCGCTGGGGGGGCCGCACGCGCCGGGGGGCTGGCGTGCGGCTGGACGAGGCATGGGTCTGGGCGGCCGGCGGGCCAGGGGCAGAGCGGCAGCCGCCCGGCCGGCCGGGCCTGGCACAGAGGCTCCGAGGCTAGGGGGGCAGGAGCCCAGGGTGGGGGACTGGCGGACGGCGCGCGGGCATCTTCTCTCTCTCTGCTCCCCGAGTCCTGTCAACTCGCTGCATCCAACAACAAAACGAGCGCCCACCCCCCTCCTCATGACTATTCATCAGGGCCCAGGCAGGCCCCGGCTTGCCCACTGCCACACTGGACCGCACCACAGAGGCGGCCCGGAGGGGGCGCCGGCCGGGCAGGGGCCAGCTCCGTGAGGAAGCCACACCCGCTCCTCTGAGACGCCGCCCACGGGAGTCTGGGGGCCACGGCCTCCACGCCAAGCAGGGCAGCCAGCACGGCCCCGAGACCTCAGGAGGCAAGGCCGCGCCCCCCCAAAGGGAAGCCATGTGCCCTGGCGCCCTGGGCAGAGCTATCTCCCGCCTACCCAGGGAAACTGGTGGTCTGCTGGGGCTCCCGCTAAAGGCCGAACAGAGAAGAGAGACACTGGAGGAGACCGTGGGCCCCCCCAGGACCCCTCCCAGCATCTGAGGGAGCCTGGTGAAGGCAGGAGTGGCTGGCGCAGCCCGGGCAGCAGACAGAGCAAGAGAACCCAGAGCCTATGCACTCTGGGCTGCCAGCTGCCACCGGCCTCATCCCTGCTGCTTTGAAACAGATGGAAGTGGCCCAGCAGGAAGACCCCCGGGGCCCAAGTCAGTGAGCTGACCATGGGACCCTGAGCATGGACAGGGGGTCCCACTATGGTGGTCCACCTAATGGGGGCTTCAAGGCGGTCACCGCCACGCCCCTCCCGGAGAGTCTATTTTCATTGTAATGAACCGTCTTTGGCATGAGGTCACCCCCGGTGTAGGGGCCTCACCGGGGTCCGCCAGGGCATCTATTAGGCACCACCACTGACAGGGAGGTGGACGGCCACCCTCGGCTTTCCAAGCCCCCGAGCACAGCCACTTCTGCCCTCAGCCTCGACGCCCGCTCCCGGGAAGCAGGGACCTCCTTTCCTTGGCCGTCAGGGACAGAACTCTCCAGCAGCCAGCCTGGCAGAGGTCGGCCAGCCTTGAGGGAGATGGTAGTCCCCCTGGCCCACACCAAGGGAACCCAGGACGGGGTCTCTGACGCGCAAGACTGTGAGACGACCAATGGGTGCTGTTTCACATGGCGCTTTGTTACGCAGCAGCAGCTGACTCACACACCAGGACCGTGAGGAGTCAGGACAGAGGGAGCCAGGGCTCCATGGGGTAGCCTGGGCCTCTGCCTGTGCTCTGAGGCTCAGGCCTGCCGGGGACAGGAGGCGAGGCTGGGCCCCAGGTGAGCCGGCCGCACCAGAGCTGTGGACTGGCGGCTGCCCGGCGGGAGGCCTCCTCCCTGCAGCCCTGGTGAGAGCAGAGAAGACAGTGCTGGGTCACTGGGGCCGGAGCACCGGCGCTGTCCCCACAGTGAGCCTGGGCCACCTGGGATCCCAGGGTCACCAAGCACACATGTCCAGCGCCACCTCCTGTGCATTTCTCCAAAGTCCTGGCCCCCTGGGGACGGTGATGGGGGAGCCGGGGCCTCTGTTCCCAGGGACTGGCCTCGCCCAGCTGCTCCCTCCAGCTGACCTCCCACTTGGCCCTCGGCACCCACGACTTTCGTCCTTTCTCATCAGGGATTCCCCCAAGTGCTGCCTCCTCTGCACTCACAGTAACCTCTTGGCCACCCACAGGCAGGTGGCTCTGTGACGTGGTGGCCGGCCAGGGCTCTGCTTCATGAAGCCCAGAGACCCTTTCCTCGAGGCCTGTCAAAGGAAGGGCTCACTGCTCGGGTGGCGGGGGGTGGGGGCAGACTGGCGGGGGTGCCTGGGTTGGACCTCAGATAACACAGCCCACGCCAGGCCCCGGCCCCACCCCCACCCTCCCTGGGACCACAGACCCTCCTTGAGCAGGAACACCTTTCCCTCCCTCTGCGCACCTGCCCCCTGTCTGGGGGCTGGCCCAGAAATGCTCCCTCCCCAGCGAGGAAGGTTGCCCCGGGTGGCCGCCGGCACCTTTGAGCTCCTAAATGGCTGTCCTGTGTAGTAGCAGCTTGCAGTTAGCACCTGAGGAGGAGTGGTGGGCGGCCCCTGCTGGCTGCAGCCCTGCCCCTGGGTGGCCCACCTGCCCACACCAGCTGTCACCAGAGAAAGGCGCCAGGAGAGGCGGGAAGGAGTCCAGGGACGGCGGGGACTCTGGAGGAGTGGGGGGAGGGAGAGAAGGGAGCCCTGAGCTCAAGTCTCCACAGGGAGGCTGGGGCGGAGCCTCGCCCAGCACCTGTGGCCCGAACCCTGCGTGCCCTGGAGCCGGGAAGGAGCCTGCGGCTCCCAGCAGAGCAGGGTGGTGACCCAAGGCCCCTAGACTAGTGAAGGCACCACCCCAGAGGACCAGTGTCCCCACCCCTGGACTGTGCCTGCCGGAGCCCCGCCCAGGCCCCTGGGTGCAGTGGGCAGAGGCCCTGGGGCACTGCCGCCAGCCGCCCACGCCAGGTGAGTCTCCCAGTTGGCGTGGGGGGCCACCCGAGGGGCCGAAAGTGGCAAGCTCACAATGTTCCCACAATGGGCAGGGCAGGGCGTGGTTCCCTCGCCTCCGTGACCGACTCTGCACGCAGGTGGCATGTGGCTGCCTGGCCAACGTGCTCCCTTGTGTTCCCAGGGGTGGAAAGCCCCGCCCTCCTCACTCAAGGGCTGGTGAGAGCTGTGCCCCACCCCCCGGCTTCCACCAGGGGTGGGGGGCACATCCCACCCACTGGGACCTAGCACGGCTCCTCTGCCTCCCCCAACGCAGGACCCCTCCCCACCCTGGGCCGCCCCCACCCCTCGGCCCTCCACGTGGTGAGCCAGGTGGCTGGGTGGGAGCGGCTGGCAAGGCTCTGGCGACAGACCTCCCAGGAGGCCGCGCTCGGGGGGGCCCCCTCCCCGGGCTCCGAGGCAGCTCCTGTCCTACAGCGTGTCCCATAGAGGGGACACAGGGGGAGCGCCTGACACCTCACTTTTTTGATTGTAACGTAAGTGCCTAACCTGAAGCCTGTGATCGCCGGTCCCCCCTTCCCTCCCTGCTTTAGGACGACACGAGGCCCCTCCTCGCCTAGCATCTGCCTCGGGTTCCTCACCCGCAACATGGAATATAGCAGGTGCTCCGTCCGGACAAGCTCTTTCCATTGCAATGGCCCCTGAGCAGAGGCCGGAGGCCAGGCCAGGGGGTCAGAAGCCTCAGGGCTACTGTGAGGGTCCTCAGAGGACTGGGCGTCCCAGGGGCTCACTGCCCACCAGAGCCCCCCAGCCTGGGCTTACCTGCCCCAGCGGCTCCCTCTGCTAGCCCCGCGGGGGCCAGCAGGCCCTGGCCCAGCCCAGCTTGGGGCAGACACAGGCGGAGGACACAGGGACCCTCCTGCCTCCTCCCCCAGCCCTGCTCCACTCCGACTCGTCCACGCGGCTGGAGCCCCCGCAGCCCATGCCCAAGATGCCTCGGAAGGGTGTGTGTTGCAGGGAGAGGCTCCAATTTCTGGAAGGGGGGCTTCAGGGAGCGGGGACAGGCCCAGTGCCCGCTGAACCATTCCATCCCGACTTGCTCCAGGGGACCCAGGCCCACCAGACACACAGAGGTGCTCAGAGATGGGCACGTGACCGAGTTGAGACCAGTGAGAGGCAGCCTGCTGGATGAAGGGCCCAGAGGGGTCCTGCCCCCTTGGGAGCTGGTGCTGGTGGACCCCGTACCCCTCACTGCAGGAGGGGGCCATTTGAGAGCAAAACCACCATGGGGAAGGCAGGGCAAGGCCCGTGGCTGTTCAGACACCTGGATCCAGCTGTGCCTGAACACACCCCCACCCCTGGACTGACTGTGCGCCAGTACATTGTCTCTTTCGCAGCTGGAATGTGCCGGCAAGCCGCAGAGGCAGCTGTGCGCCGACACCCTGCTCCCCGGCTCCATGGGCTCCCAGGTCTGGACAGGCCACCTTTGCTCCCCCCACCCAAGTCACCGGTGGCCCTGCCTCCCCAGAGACACCCCACTCACCATGACGGACGAGGTGGCCATGCCCTGCAGGTGGAAGACATCCATGCTGGCCTCCGCGCCGCCGGCCTCCTCATTTCTCCCCCGGCCCGACTGGGGAAGGTCAAAGTAGGTGCTGTCGGGCTCCCTGGGAGAGGGGACCGGGCCGTCAGCCCCAGCGTGTCCAGCCCGAGCCCGGGACCAGCCCCCACCCGCTGCAGGGGCCTCCCTCTCCTGCCCCCAGGGAGTCCTCAGTCTGCGCCCCGGCACCTCGGCTCACCCTCCCGCTGCCTCCCCCTCCCGTGCCGGCCGGAGCTGGCTCTGCGGAAACACTCACAGGGAGCTCCAGAGGTTCTCGAATGTGGCCCCCTGGTCGGTGGCGGTGGACTGGGACATCATCCCCGCACCCGGCCTTGAGAGAGGCTGGCTCTGGGAGGAGAAAGAGGGACCGTGAGTGCTTTGGGAAGACACCTGTGTGCTCCTCTCCCAACGTCCTCAGGGGCGGGCGGGCAGGGCCACCGGTGACCCGCGAGGACACCACGCCGGCCCTATGCTCACCCCCTACCTGCCCGCCTCCCGGTTCAGACGAGCGGGTGGGAGGTCAGCCCTGCAGAGCGCAGGCCTGGCCTCCGATGCAGCCGGGGTGCCCTGGACGGCAGGGCCTTCTCAGAGTGCCACGCGCAAGTGGGGGTGACAGCAGCCTCCCCGTGTGGGGCTGCCACGGTGCCCTTGGCCCGGGAGGGGTCTGGCCATCGTCGGCACTCGGAGGCACGTGGTCATTGTCGCTGGGACCTTGTCTCCAGGTTGAGCCAGGTCTGGAGCCAGGCCTGGGGGCTCCTGCTGCCCCAGGATGTGGGGGCAGCGTGTGCGGGCGCACGGGGGGCAGGAGCCCAGCGCTGGGTTTGGGCTTTTCCCCTCTGAGGGGGGCCACCCTGAGACACAGATATGGACGCAGCTCTGGGCCTACAAAGAAGCCCACCAAGGCCAAGAACCCCCGGCAGCTCCCCCATCCTAGGAGATGCCTGGGTGTTGGGGCCCTGACCCAGGGCTCTGCTGTCCTTTGTCCCCACCAGTGCCTCTCCCAGGGTCTTCCCCACCCCATTGCCACCAGGCACCAGGCTGGGCTCAGCTGGAGCCCCTTGCCCCGCAGTGGGGGCAGGGGGAGGGCAGGAAACCTCTGTCCCTGCCCAGGCCGAGGTGACAAGTCCTGGTCCTTGGCGCACGGCTATGGGAATGAGTCCAGCCACAGCCTGGCAGTGACCGAGCAGGCAGGCCCGGACCTGCCCGGAGCCATCGGGAGAGGGAGAGAGCCCCCGAAACCTGCCACTCTGTCCCCGTGCAGGCAGGTGCCTGTGGAGTCCTGTGGCTTGCCCCCAGGGCCGCCGCGTGCTGGGCGTCCAGTCCCTGGCCCTGTGGCACGAGCCCTGAGGGCCACCACATAGACCAGGCCCGAGGACGAAGGCGTGGCTAATCCAGGAGGCTCGGGACAAGCAGCTTAGACAGGGCTGGCCACACACCAACTCTCCTGCAGGCTCAGAGAGGTTAAGCGGCCTGCGGAGGTCACACGGCAGGGCTCTGCGTACAGAAACGGCCACGTGGTTTTCTCAGAGTGGAAACTGACTTAGTCATGCCTGTTCCCCAAGCCAACAGACCCACAGCACAGCACCCACGAAGGTTTTCCTGAGGGGCTGGCCGGCACCCACAGGCACCCCCTGTGCTGGGCGGTCACCCCGTGCTGGCCCAGGCTGTCCACAACCCAGTGGGGCTGAGTGTGGGGCAGGGGCGGGGCCCTGGGCAATCCAGAGTGAGGTGGCTGCACAGCTGAGGCGGGGCCAGCTGGCCTCGCCCACCGCCCGGGCTGGACCCCTGGGGGGAGCAGCAGCTAGTCAGGACAGCCCCTCAGCGTCCCACCGAGAGTGGACAGCGACATCCCATCCCCCATCCTGGCCACACTGTTCCTAAGGACAGGGAACAGCCCCCGCGCGCACCAGGGACGGAGAAGCAAACGGCGGCAGGTCCACAGGGCAGAACACCACTCGGCCGAGAAAAGGAGCGCAGCCCCGGCATACGCTGCACCGTCAACGGCTCTCAGAGACGGGACGCCAGCGAGGGAAGCCACGCGCCAAGGACCCCGTGTCCTGTGCCTCCGTCCGTCGGAAATGTCTCAAGCGGGCAAAGCCGAAAGGACAGGGGCAGAGTGGTGAGGGCCAGGGGCTGGGGCACAGGGAGGGGGGTGACAAGAGTGTGTTTAATGTCACCAAATTGATCGCCTGAGAAGGGCCGATGTTATCCTTTGTGACTTTCACCTCAACAAAAACTTCTCTTTAATTTTTACAAATAAGAGCCCGGGGCAGCACAGGGGGCCCTCAGGGATACAAAGCATGTCCCTGGAGCACTCACTCAGCCGGCTAAAAAAAATCCGTGCCCGCGTCTCTCCAGCCCTGGCTCCTAGCAGCCTCCGCCACCAGCACCGGGAATGTCCCCACAGACCTCAGACCCAGGGTCCTGCTCTGTCCCCAAGTCCCGCGGGCGGGGCCTCCAACCCACTTCAACTCAACAGCCCGTATTTGTCACTTGGGGAGAGTCCTGGGGCTGGCGGCCCGAGGGTTTCCCCCTGCCCACCAGGACCCCGAGAGCTCAGGCGGGGCTGGGAGGCTGAGGTGCCAGCACATGGATTCACACTCCACTGCTTCCCCCTGGTGACTCAGGGTGTCTGAGAGGAAGTTCCGGCCCAACGGCTTCTGACAGATGCACCTTCCAAGGTCACCCCTGTTTGGGGAGGGCACGCCACTCGTCCGCCCCGCCCCCGGGGCCCCTCAGCTCCTGGCCGGGGGTTGTAGACCTTGAGGGCCCTGAGGCCCTTCCTCCACGGCTCTGCCCCTCCCTCTGAGCTCGTCGCCCACAGCTTCCCAGCCAGAGCCAGTGCCTCCTGTCCCCACATGTCCCCTCACTATACCTCTGCCCCGGCCCCATGTGGCTCTCCGGCCCTGTCCCCACATGCCTCCTCCCTGTTCTCCTTGCCTGTCCCCATGCACCTGAGCTGGGGACCACCTCGCCCCTGTCCACCCCGCCGCCTGCCCCACCCTGGTCCTTCTGGGCCAGGCCAGGCCACAGCCTCCCCTGGGGAGCTGCTGCCCTCCCTCCCTCCCCGACTCTGGCTTAGGAGGCCCCCGTGTCGCCCCGTCACAGGCACCCCTTGGGCTGTGTGACCCACAAGGCAGGGTTTCAGAGCTTCCTGTTTCTTGTCCCCTGCACCTGTCCCTCCCCAGGGCTCTCGAGAGACGCCCCATCCATGGGGACAGCGCCTCCGGTCCAGCCCTGACCGGAGGGCAGAGGCCTGTCCAGCCTGGCCTCTGGGCGTCCGCGTTCGGGGAGGGGCGGGTCTGTCGGGCCAGCAGAGAGCCGCGGGGCCCCACCGGCCCCCCAACCCCGCACCAGCCGTCAGGGTTTCTGAGCCAAGCAACCACTGTGCCCCGGCCAGAGGCTCCACTCACTTCTTCCTTCCAGTGAGACCCCAGTGGCCTCAGAGCCAAGGTGTCGGGGAAATGGTATCATCACAGGAGGGGACCCCAGGGCCTTCCTGTCACCCCAGTGGCCCTGTCTCGAGGGGCCCACAGCGCCCGGATGTCCCCTACCTGGGCGGGCCTGTCCAACGGCCACCACGGTCGGCAGCCATCTTCCCCGGGCCGTGCCCAGCCCATGTCCATCGGGACGCTGGGAGCGGCCTCCCGGGGCCCTCGCTGCTGAGAGGGCTCTGCGGCCCCCAACACGGCGGTGGCTCTTGCCCATGGGGTGGGGCTGGGCCTCCCTCCTGGACACAGGGCAGCGCCCCTCGTGACCCACCCTTCCTGCCTTCTTCCAGGGAACTGCTGGGCCGCCCTCTGTGCCGGCCAATCGGGTGGGGCTGGGGCTGGGCAGGACCCTGGGCCACAGCTGCGCCCTGTACCTCCTGGGGAGAGACTGGGGCCTGCAGGGCCCGGCAGGGGCCTGTGGCTGAGGCCGCCCAGCACCCTCCGGGGGCAGCCCCCTCCCCGAGTCCTGCACCGGGCGGGGTTGGGGGGCAGCAAGCACAGGCCACGAGAGACAAACTTAGCCTCCCCACCCTGAGGCGGGGCACCACTGGGAAACATGAAAACAGCTGGAGGCGCCCAATTCAGCTGCCCTCTGTCCTTCCTGGGCCCAGCCCATCAGAATGGGGGCAGTGGGGCAGCCCCCGGACCTCCCAGGCCAGCTGCCACCTACCCTGCTGGCCTCTTACCCCGGGCTCCAGCCTCTTACCCGGGACTCCAGACCCTGGAAGGCAAAGGGCCTCCTCCCACGGCCAGCCCAGGGTGGGCAGCCCCCTCCGGCACCTAGGTCGTCTCTGTCTAGAGGACTCGGAAGCTTCTCGGTCATTCCTGCCTTTAATCGCACAGTTGGCTTAGAGCCCGTGCAAGCACGACAACCTTCTAGAAAGAAGCGAGGGTTCAACAAACCTTCAGGGGCTTACAGGGGCTAGGAGAGTCCTTGCCGGGAGAGGTGCCTGGCTGAGCAGAAGCTTGGGAACGCGCCAGGGGCTGCCCCAGACGGCTCTGCAGTAGAGAAATGAATAGGCAGCTAAATGAAACAAAGAAACGCTAACTCCTGGAGGGCTGGCAGCCCTTCCTACCGGCGAGCACTCCCTACGTCTATTTTCACTGCACGGAGAAGTCACATCATCTGCCCAAGAGCCCACAGTGGGTCTGGGCAGAGGGCAAAACCCTTCCACTTGACCCCCAAACTCCACCTGGCCGGCTCTCCCGGAGGCAAGCAAGGAGCCGACCCTGCCCAGCCTGCCTTCCTACCTGTACGCTGCGCCCCGGAAGTCCCTTGCCCCCCTTCTTGACACCTACACGCATCAAAGCCCAGTCCACATCCTGCCCTCTGCCGACCTCACCATAACCGACCTCCTAATCTCCTCGCTCCCCAAATGTGCAGGTCGCGCCCGCACACGCCGGTCCTGTCCCGTGGCCTCCTGCCCAGGTCGGCGCTGCCCCGCACAACCCCCAGCGCACACAGCCCACCACTGCCACCGCCGCGCCCTGCTCAGCTGTGCTGCCCATTCCGAGTCCCTGTTTCCTGAGGTGCACGCCCAGGGTGCTGATCTGGGGCGCTAGGAACTCAGGAAACAGTAGCCAGTTGCAACTGACCGAGAGTTACTTAGTGTCAGGGTGGCAGGCCGCTGAGGGGGATAAACCAGCCCCCAGCCGCCCCAGCACAGCGGGGAGGCCAAGTCTGGCGGCTGCACTGCCACCGGCTCCTGTGCAGAGGCCCCCCTGTCCCCAGTCTCACCAGGAGCGACGTAGCTGCAGAATGAGGGGGACCCAGCGCCCCATCACAGCAGAAACCCCATGTGCCACTCCAGGGCCTTGCCAAAGTGGGT